TGATTCCCTCACTTCACAACTTTCCTCTGCACATGTTTCTTTCTCTGATCTTCATTTCTTCTCTTCACTCCTAACACCTCTGCCTACCACCTTCATTGGACTAACTCCTTCTCATCATTCAAAATTCAATTCATCTATTCCCTTCCTCTAAGAAGCCTTCCTGAACTACCATTTCTATCACCCCCAGGCTGTCGTGGGAACATTCTAGAGTCTCAGAATTCTGCATATAACTTTATGCCTCAATGGGAATTTTCTAATTACCTCCTCCTTGCAAACAGGGACTTGGTCTAATACATCTCCAAATTTCCGAAATTTAACACAATGCTTAGAACATAGAAAGTAGTTAATATGTTTTTTTTTTAATTTTTAATATTTTATTACATATAGATGTGATATTTTAATATTTTTATTGGTTGTTCAAAACATTACAAAGCCCTTGACATATCATATTTCATACATTAGATTCAAGTGGATTATGAACTCCCATTTTAATATGTTTTTGAATTAACAACTAATTTTAAAAATGAATATCATACTCCACAACATAGTGGTCTCTTTTACAGAACCATGACACAGAGCTTGATATATTACTTTTGTAATAAAAGTAAGGAAGCTATAATTACTGGCAGGTTTTGTTCTTCTCCCTTCCCCCATAACATTGTTGAAAATATTTAGGAATTTACAATCTTAAATAAAAGTTTTCAATCCTATGCAAAATTTTAGGAATCCTTCTGTATTTTTCCTTGTTTTGTTTTTTTCCAGTTGACATGAAAGTAGATTATTTTGAAATCCAGTTTAAAGACTCCAAGTTTCAAAATCAATAGTTCTTAAGTATTATATGGCAAATGAAAATATCTTCCTTTAGAGTTTAAAGGAAATTTCTTTTATGGATTCCATTAAATAAATAGGGAATATTAAAAGCAAAGATAAGGATATTCCCATATGGTGAATACTACCAATGAATTACTTTAAGCCTTCACACTTGCAATAATTTTTTATAATCAGAAACAGCAAACTCATCTAAAAATGAAATTTTTCCTTAAATCAATATTAAATTTAAAACCTACTTCATTGCTGAAATTGAACAACTAATAAAAATAGTCTGAAACTCACATAAGACTGTGCTGTTCTTAAATGACTCAAAGATAAAACTGTGATTGTGTTAATTGGGATGCAAAATATTGACATTCTTCTGACCTTTTAATGTAGTATATAGTTCTCTAGTATCTCTCATTGAAGTGACTAAGCTAAGATGCTAAAATTAAAGCCAAATATAACATTCATAAATCTCAGGAATATAGACAATATCAGAAGGACTTAAAAGAAATAATCACATAAACTTTCTAGCCAACAAGAAAATATTTTCTGTCCCAATACTTTAGGCATCTTTAATAAAATTATGCTTACTTCCATTACAGAAGATATATAGTTGACAAAAACAATTTGAACTTTTAAAAACATTTCTAAAAAAAAAAAGATAAAAATTATGTAAGTGTACATTCCCTCTTCCACAATTCAAAAAACCTCAAATACCTAACCTAGGCAATAAACCTAATTTGGTAGCAAAACCTGACTCAAATTGATATGACGCTGTTAATTATTTATGTTCACTTAGTGCAAATGTGATATTAATGTGTTTGATTACAAAGCACATTCCCTTATTCATTCAAAAAGTTTCCCCAAAAAAAAAACTGCCTTTTGCATCTATGATCTACTTACAGAGTTATCTACATGGTTGAAAAAAAAAAAAACTATCTTAGGTGTCCTTTCACTCCTCCACAAAATTCTTCAAAATTCACCCCACACAGAGACAGGTTCCATAGTTCACAGGTAGGTACCATAGTTCTTGGTACCTACCTTTTCCTATGACATCAAAACAATTACATCAATAAAGAAAAAAATCTTACATTCATCATTGAATGTTTAAAACTTGCTTTTATGTTTAAAGCRTATTCAATACATTTGAAACTTTTTATATTTGAGCTTCAAGTGAATTAAGAAAATAACATTTATTGGGTACATAAGTAATATTCACAACTATCCTACAAATATCATCCTCAACTTACAGATAAAAAAAAACTGAAGGTCAGAAAAGTTGAACCCAAGGTCCATATCTAATAAGACAGAGTTTGATTCTCAGAACCACATAAACATAAATAAATAAAATAAAGGTATTGTGTCCAACTACAACTTAAAATATATATATATTTAAAAAAAGAAACAGGGCTGGGATTGTGGCTCACGGTAGTGTGCTTTCCTGGCATACATGAGTCACTGGGTTCAATTCTCAGCACCACAATACAAATAAATAAAACAAAGGTCCATCAACAACTTAAAAATATTTTTAAGATGTGTTTTAAACGTTTAAAAAAGAAAAACAAAGACTGAGATAATTAATAGTGACTCAAAAGATAGATGACCTGGCTTTTACCCTCATCAATTTTCTCTCATTCAAGTTACCAATAACCTTCCTGTTACYATGTCTGGCTTTTCATTCTTCATTTTTTATCACTTGTCAGGATTCAGTATAAAGAGTATTCCATTTGTCTTGAAATATTTTTTGACTGTACTCTGGTTATAATTTCTCTCTTTAGAGGGAACTGAAATATTKCAGCTATTCAATACTTCATCCCAAGCCTGGTGTTTCTTAGGGCAGTTTCATCCATACCCATGATCTCTATTTCAAAAAAATTCTCTCCATGACAATTCAAATTTTCTTTTAAATTCAACTGCTTTGCTAATGTCTCCATTTATTTGTATGTCTTAAAGATTCTTCAAACTTCCTAAATCTAAAACCAAATTCATGGTCTTCCCTTTCAAACCTTGCCAAGATCCTCTCCAATGCTCCCTATCTCAGTAATGACATCTGAGCATCCAGTTGCACAAAATAGAAAAAGAGATACCTACCTCCTCTTCCCTCAGTCTCATATCCCACTAAGTCCCATTAATTTTATCTCATAAATAWTTTCAATTCCTTTCTTTATCTCCAAGCTTACCTTCTAACAGATCTTCTTATATTCATTCTTGTATACTTTATTCCCTTTGCTGTAGCCAAAATTTTTTTAATGATTCTAATCATGTCATGTTCCCCATTAAAATCCTTCAATAGCTTCCCATTATTCTTGGGATTTTTTAGCCAAAATTAATAACATAGCCTACAAAGTACTTCAGCTTGCCTCTTCTCTCCCCACATTGCCCTATGAACACCCACACTTGTCTCTTTCCAGTTCTCTTACATAGCATATCATGATTCCACCCATATTAAGGTCTTTGACATGAGTTTCCCTCCACCTAGAGCATTCTTTGCTCTTCCCTTCATTTATCTAATCCCTTTCATATTTTAGCTAAAATATTACCTCCAGGCAATATCAAGCAATTCAGTTGTTCCTTTAACAAATATTATATTAAGAAGACATTATATATACTGTACATTAAGTAAAGTTCTAGATGTGATAAAAAATAAAGCCTTTGTGGAGGACAGAAGTAATTATAAATACAAATGAGTAAATTAAATAGTAGGTTCAAAGGCAATATGTGCTATGGGAAAAAAGGAAAAGMAGGCCAAGGTAAGAAAATCAGGATCAGAGAGTTTCTAGAGCCTAACTTGTTATCTAGAAAAAAAGCATTTAATAAATATTTATTGAGTACATGAATGAATAAAAAAGTGAGCATGTTCAAGTTATGGGGGAGCTAAAACTATACAATGAGTAAAAGAGCTACTCTGTGGAAGAAACAAAGATGCCATTGAAAAAAACAGAGACAGACAGAAACCATGAAGGGGTCCTGAAAGATAATGATCCCTTGAACCATTCTTGGTGGTTTCTTGTAGTTTCCAGTTCCATTCCCTGTATAGCCTTACCAATAGAAAACACACACACACACACACACACACAGAGAGAGAGAGAGAGAGAGAGAGAGAGAGAGAGAGAGACTGGAGTAATTCAAGTGGATCACTCTTGTAACCATAATCTAACAAATACCTATTTAGGATGCAAATACAAGGTTATACGTGTACACCATTTTAACAACCCAACACCAAACAAATCCCAAAGTCACTAATTTTCTATACATACACTGATATTATCCCTTGTATTAAAGTTTCAGTTCTTCAGTCCTCAGGCCCTTTTAGGGATAAACTCCCTCCCACATATACAAGGACTATAAAAACCCTTGTTTTCTTCCATGGCCCTTTAAGACACCTGAGGTCACTATCTCTCTTAAGCCCAGCCACAAGAGTCCCCCAGGAATAGAATCCTGGGTCTACCTCCCTGTCAGTCTCCCTGCCCTTTAAATGGTATCTTACACTCAAAGTAGTGAACGTGCACCCCTTTGTGATTTTGAATGACCTTCAAGATCCCATATGCCACTCACTTAGGCTCCACCTCCTTTTAGCAGATTCCTAAAGGGGCTGGGTCTCTGGAAGTCCCCTCAAGCCTCTGGTCTTTTTAAAGACCCATACAAAGATCTGTACACTTTCTCTGTGGCCAGAGGAAATCCTGAAGATCCTAGTAAACCTCCCCTTCCATGGCACTGTCTGAAACTGAAGTAACACACCTTCCACAAACACCTGCCTCCTCAGAATCAGAGCCTCCTCCCAGCTCCAAATCATAACCCTGCAGGGATCCTTCCCATGCTCCCACCGGGCTGTGTACACCCTCTCCACGACGCGGCCCATCCCTAGGATTAGCCCCCACCACAAGTGCCCCTCAGCATTAGAGTCCTGTGTCCTCCCTGGGGTCCCAGCCCTTTCCAGGCCCATGCTCACTCAAAAGTGTGCACACTCCCCCACACATTCCCCTGCCAGCAGGACTTCGAGGTCCCTGCCCGCCACTCAGAGGGGTACACACCTCCCTTGACCCCTGACCCTTAAGTCATAACCTCACCGCGCAAACACATAAGGGCTTCCACTCTGGAATAGGATCATGCCAAGTCTCCTCTTTCCCCAGGCCCAGGACAGCAGTGCCACCTCAGCTTTCCCTGAATCAACCGCCCCCACAGACCTGCCTCAGGCGCTGTCTGGCTCCGCTCCGCCATTTTTGTTGTCCCTCAGACTCCGAGCCCACCCAAAAACCTCGGGGCAGTGGGGAGCGGGCGGTGGGATCCTGGAGCTGACAGGAGCTCCCTCAGGAAGACGCGGCACGACGGTTGCCAGGGCAACGGGCGGCTGGCTTGCCAGCGCTGGCGCGTGGCGGGGGGCGGGGCGGGAGGGGCGGGCTAGGAGGGAGCGTGCGTCCGAGGCCCCGCCCACTCCCCCAGCCTGGTGGCTGCGGGACTGGGAACGTTCGCTGCTCGCGCGTCGGAGCTACCGCGTCCAGGCAACTGAGCATGCTCCGCCGCCCCTAGGGAACCCGGGCTCTGGTGGACTAGGCTGGCGCCGGGGCCTGGTGCTGTCCACAGAGCCTGAGTTGATGTTTCTATCGTTAGAGCTCAATTCTGAGACCTTAGGACAGGTTTCTTGATTTCCCAGTGCTTCTTCCCCTAGCGTGCCTGACATTCCTCGATATGCTAGGTGACTTGTGAATTCAGTTTAACTACCTTGAAAAATAAAGGTGGTGTGCCCACTTCAACCCAGACACACAAAGGTCCAGTGATTGTGGCTCCTTATCCCTCTTCAACCGCACTTGCCCCCAGTWCTGAAAAAGACTTTTCTTTTGTTGATGTAGGGATGCTCTTTCCAGTCACTATGTTCTAAGACCAAACTGGAAGGTTATCCTTTCCTAGCAGGCTCCCCTCCTACACATAGTTCTCTGTACATTTTCTTGCCCCAACATTTTTTTTTACAATGCTTTATGCATTATTTCCTTCTTTCTACCTCGACTGAGTTCCCTGATACCTGGGGTTRCTCTCTTCAAGTGTGTACATGCCATAGGGCAGCATGATGCATGACATAGAATAAGTATTTGGTAATTATTTGCTGAATGAAAAATGATTCCTAAATTCATTCCTGCACATTCTGACAGGTTTTATTGAGCACTTAATTTTCTAACAAGTTCTTTCCTAGGTAGGCCCCTTCTTCTCAAGGCGATCACAGAGCAGAACAAAGAGAAAATGATTTTGATAAACTGGGTTTGAAGTGCTAAATCAGGGAGTCAGAACTCAAAACTGTAATAGTGGTGAGAAGTARTCAGTGAAGACTTCACAGGGAAATGAACACCCTTGCTGAGTCTTGAAGAATAACTAGATGTCAGCCAGGCAAAGGAGTGGAAGAGTGTTGTGGGCAGAGGACCTGTGTAAGTGGAGGAAAAGAAGTGCATGCGATCAGCAAAAAACTGCAAGAAGTCAAGGATGGTGGAACACAAATCCTACAGGGAAAACTGTTGTCTCTAAAGAGGTCAATATATCACTAGGTAACATCTTCACAAGGGTTCTCCAAAAAGAGCCTCAGGCAAGGACTTGGGAATTTGAGGAGAAACAAGTGAGACTGAAAAAGAGAAGGGAGATAAAAAGCCAAGAAAAACGTGTTATTTAGTCAATTCAGTAGATAGCTGTGCTTAATGTCACTGAAGATGCTCTAAAGAACTGTGTGGAAAATAACAAAAATAGTAGTAGAAGGAAGATCASTGTAATAGAGAAATGGATCAAGTGGCGGGAATAGGCAAGGGAAAGCACTTAAGACAGAAATAAAACCGATTATATACATGTATGAATATGGCATATTGAATCTCACTAATATATAATGCACCAGTAAAAAAATAAATTTAAAGAACTGTGTCGAATGTGCCTTAGACATTGTCCCACTAAAGAACAAGGAAGCTGGGGCATTTATCTTATCATTTCCATCTCCATTAGTTGAGTTTTATTCTCCATCCCCTAGCTGACCTCTCTTATCTTTCCTGGATTTGTTTCTCAAAGAGGAGCAGACTTGCTGAGTTTGAGAGAAAGCTTAAAGGCAAAAAAGCAAAGATGAACCAGAAAGCCTTTGAGGTAAGATGCATTTACCTGCACTAAAATCAGGGATAAGTTGTGGGTACCATAAGAATCTTCTCCAGAAAGTTATGTGAAAATACCCATCAGGTGGGACTGCAAATTGGTGCAGCCAATATGGAAAGCAGTATGGAGATRTCTTGGAAAATTGGGAATGGAACCACCATTTGACCCAGCTGTCCCTCTCCTCGGTCTATACCCAAAGGACTTAAAAACAGCATACTATAAGGACACAGCCACATCAATGTTTATAGCAGCACAATTCACAATAGCTAAACTGTGGAACCAACCTAGATGCCCTTCAATAAATGAATGGATAAAAACATGTGGCATATGTACACAATGGAATATTACTCATCAATAAAAGAGATCAGAATCGTAGCATTTGCAGGTAAATGGATGGAGTTAGACGGAGTTAGAAAATGCTCAGTGAAGTTAGCCAATCCCAAAAAAACAAATGTCAAATGTTTTCCTTCATATAAGGAGGCTGATTCATAGTGGGATAGGGAGAGGGAGCTTGGAAGGAATAGACAAACTCTAGATAGGGCAGAGGGGTTGGAGGGGAAGGGAGGGAGCAAGATGTAATTAATGATGTTGGAATTTGATTATCATTACTATCCAAAGTACATGTATGAAGACACAAATTGGTGTGAATATACCATGTATACAACCAGAGATATGAATAATTATGCTCTATATATGTAATAAGAATTGTAATTCATTCTACTGTCATATATAAATAAAAAATTACATAAAAAATAAAATCTACATTCAGATTAAATGCAAAAAAAAGGAAAATATCCATCAGAAATATCTTTCACGGGGTTGGGGATATGGGTCAAATGGTATCGCACTGCCTGGCATGCGTGGGGCGCTGAGTTGGATCCTCAGCACCACATAAAAATAAAATAAAGATGTTGTGTCTACCGAAAAACTGAAAAATAAATATTAAAAAATTATCTCTCTCYYYYCTCTCTCTTTTTTTTGAAAAAAAGAAATATCTTTCACATTTGAGCATTTTAAAATTCACAGCATGTCCATAGAAACAAGAAGATTGGTGCTCACATGCTTTTCACAATCCTGATGACAGGTAAAGACTGAGAGCTGTGGGAATTTCAGAGTGGGAAGGCTCACTGAGAGCTGAGGAGAACAAACAAACATCATTCATAAGGATATAGAAGAAAAAAGAAAGATCTGGGTTCCATTAAGACTCTGACTTTAACATAGCTTTATAATCATGGACATATCACTTAAACATACTGAGCCTCAGTTTTCTTTTCCAACAAACTGAGACAAAGGCTCTCCAGATTTCTCTAAGTCACAAATGGGGTGATGGATGAAATTGCATTTTACAAGTATAAATCCAGTAAACCTAAAAACCTACAATATTTKGAATAATCAATTATACAAACATCTCCTAATACACCTTCTGAGCCAGGCTCTATAAAGATGTTGAGAATAAAAAAGGTGAATAAATACAGTAGAGAACTRCACTGCTCAATTTTAATTTTAATAYAATTTAGAACTCAATTATTTAGTCAGACTAGACTCATCTGGCTACATGTGGCTAGTGGATACCATATTGGACAGCATCTGTATAGAACATCTCCATCACTGTAAAAGGTTCTGTTGGAGAGGGTTGATAGAGGAATGCCAACTGGGCACAGGAGATGGAATGCCTGGAAAACTCTTTCACTAACAGGACCAAATTCACTTTTTATTTTTATTTTTTTGTATGTCAGTTACTTCTTAGAAASAGTGAAGGAAGCAGTGTAGACTCCTTCATCCTGCTGGAGTCCTCAGAGATTTCCCTTTTGTTGTGTGAAATAGCACAGCATGAAGAATGGGGTAGAAATGCCCCCTATGTGGGCTCTGAGGAATTAGTTTTCCCATGATACCATTAAAGTGTCTCTAGGATGTCTGCCTTCCCCAGAGATCTCCTGTTGTATCTGCATCCACAGATASCGCCCACCCACTAGAAAGTCAGGGTGCCTGACTTTAAACAAAACATTCTCTGTAGAATTCACCACTCCCACTGTAAACATTTATTAAAATGGCAACTTTATTAAAATRGCAACTCCCATGTGCCTGGCCACTGAATTAAGTTACATACAGAATGGAATGAGAAAAATACTCAAGGTATACTCACATTTTTATGTGCACAAATTCTCTTATTTCTCAACATTATAAAATTGGTATGAATATTATTTTCTTGGAAAATAAAATGAGACTTAAGAGAGTTTGAGTTACCCAAAGTAATATCAGAAAGTAGCAGAATCAGGAAAGACTGGAATGATGCTATRAAATTTACCTGTTATTCCATGTAATTTTCACATCAAAAATGCCATGCCTTTGAAGTTTACAAATTAATTGGGAAGGAATGATTAACATGCACAAATTCAGTTTACAATTAACTTCAAGCATGTGGTAAGAGTACTGACACAGGCTTACTCATACAGTGTAGAAGTACCAAAGAGGAATAATCTTTTCTTCCTCTTTTCTGGAGGAAATACCCTAGAGCTGAATATGAAGAATGAGGTGGGATCAAGTAGATGAAACGTAAGATGGGAAGAAGAGAAGGGAAAATACTTCTTAATCCAACTTGTTATTTGTATTTTTGCTTTGTTTACATTGGTTTGGCCATCTATAAATGTTACCAGTCTCTTTTAATCAACTTTTTCATCACTGGACCTGACAATAACAATTAGAGGAAGAAAAGTTTATTTTGTCTCACAGTGTAAGAGGCCTCATCTCGTGGCTTCTCCAGAGCTCTGGGCCTGAGGTGAGGCAGAATACCATGGGCAGAAGGGCGTGGCTAAGACTATAAAATAATTATTTTAGTATTTCATATTGCTATGAATTGGGAAATGTGGATTCAACTTTATATTTTTCTCCATATGATTATTCTTTTGCCCAAACAACAGTTATTGAATAACCAACACATCTTCCTAGTCATTGATTTGAGGTGTCACTTTAATAATACACTTAATTCTTGTATTTGTGTAGACGCCTCTGATTGCTGTTCCATTCTATTGAAATATCCATAAATTCATGCACTAGTATCCACCCATGTTGATTAAAGTATTATGATACTTTGTAATATCTAGCTAGAACCACTCTCACTTTTGTATCAGTCTTGTTTTCTTTTTTAACTTTCTGTATTTTATTATATTTTTACATCTTAAAAAGCATGCTAGTTTGGAAAAGTTTGCACCACATAGGGGTA